TGACATTCAGCTCACGCGAGCACGCACGGATCTCATGCATGCGGGGAAATATCAAAAGCTGATGTAAACGATATATAACACTACGCGACGAGCAACGCGCACTTACCGACGGATCTGTAGCCCAGGACGGCGATCTTGCGCGATTTCGGCTGCGGCATCTTTATTTATTCCCTACCACATCAATATCCACATGTAAGAGGGCTTGTGCTGTCTGGAAGAAAAACAATCACATGGATTTGATCCGGTATTGCGTTACAACGTCGTGAAGCTTGAATGGGATAAAGTAATTACTCCGTTCCGGCGAATGAAGCGATATTTTTGATAAATTACGAGGAAAGTCTCAGACTCTGCGTCACTGCCCACCGCAAGCCTGCGTTAATTATGCAAGAATGAGCGCGCTGGATTGGTTGAGCCCGCCCTGGGAGGCGGGACGTGTCGCTGTTAATAGCACAACCATTGGGTCACCGGGTCTCAACTGTGAATGTGAATGATTGGATGACTACAGTTGTCAATGACGAGACGCCAGATTAAATGGACATGCGTTTTACCATTTTCTGACTTGCAGAAGTGCAGAATTACTTTCAAATTATATTATAAGAACTTTACGTGCCACTTGTGATTGGTCGTTTTAACTATACATTAAATGTCCATTATTATATAGCTCAATCTATAGGGAAAATGATCAAACTTTACAAAAATATGCAAATCAGCACAACATCACAATTAACCGATTATATGGCCTAATTATTTCTCACTTTGAGTTGATGTTAATTCTATCTGCACTTCTATCAGAAAAAGAAGCCTATGATCAAAATCTAAAACAAAACATGTTTTCTTTGGAGTATCATTTTAACTGGTAATTAATTTACTTTGCATCCTTCAATCCCTTTATACAAATGCAGTTTTGTAATGACATCATCCTGAAGTGGTATATTTTTTTAGCAGGAAAACAACAGCACAAACATCAGTAAGGATCAGTATTATTAATGGTTTAATTTAGTTAAAAATTAAACTAAAGTTTAGTTTTAGTTTAGTTTTAGTAAGAACTTAGAAGTTCTTCAGGTTGACGTCCTCATATAAGATAACTACTTCACTGAGACTCACTCACTATAACTCTTGGTAACACTTTAGAATACAGTTCCTTCGTTAATGAATAACTACACAAGAACCAATGAGTAACACAATATTAACAATGTAGGAACTACTATTAACTAACAAGAAATTCTGATTAACGAACTAGTAGGTAACAGCGCACATGAAAGTGGTACTTCACTGTTAACTTATCAATAACTACTATTTTTTTTAATGCTTCCCAGAGAACTACTGAAAAAGTTTCATAATTCATGCAAAACTAATCAATAACCAATGCAGGACAAATTACTAGCACTACATTAACATTTTAACTGCTACTGTAAATGATTATCATGGTAATTAACTAGTAATGACTCAAGTGTTACTACATACTTCTGGGAATTACTATCTAAAACTTCACCAAAAAACCTCAAAAGCTTCAAATGATTCATCATGACTAAAAAAATTGCTGATTTTAACAAGACGCATGGAACAAGTATGTAGTAACACTTGAGTCAAGTTACCATGATCTTCACTTTAGAATACGGATCCAAATAATTACGGTAATTCCCATGGAAGTATGTAACACTTGAGTCATTACTAGTTAGTTACCATGATTCTTAGTTACTAATGAAAAGCCAATAAAGTATCTTCTAATCACTCACAAGATATATGCACACACACACACACACACACACACACACACACACACACACACACACACACACACACACACACACACACACACACACACACACACACACACACACACACACACACACATATATATGAGCTAGGAGACATATACATAAAACATATTGTTTTGTGAGGTAGGTTAAATAGTAAAATCACTGTATATTGTATTTGGGTGGCTGATAACTCAATATGTTCCAGTCGTCACCGTGACTCTAGTGATTCAATGCCAGTCCAGAGGAATGCCGGAGAATTGGCCACAGGAGAAGTAAGGTCCAGACTACTGCATTTAAAAATCCATTTCTTTAAAATTATTCAGTTGATAAATAGACAGCACCAATTATTAACAGCTTTCCCAAATCATAAGTCTGCTATGCTATTACATATTTGATAATGTAAACAACCTTGTGTATTCGTTTACAGTAGCAGTTAAAATGTTAATGTAGTGCTAGTCATTTGTCCTGCATTAGTTATTGATTAGTTTTGCATGAATTATGAAACTTTTTCAGTAGTTCTCTAGCATTAAAACATAGTAGTTATTGATTAGTTAATAGTGAAGTACCACTTTCATCTGTGCGCTATTACTTACTAGTTCGTTAATCAGAGTTTCTTTTTAGTTAATAGTTACAGATTGTTAATATTGTGTTACTCATTGGTTCTTGTGTAGTTATTCATTAACGAAGGAACTGTATTCTAAAGTGTTACCTAACTCTTCATGAACATCCAGTTTATTTTCTTGTCATTAAATACGTGCATTACATGTGCATTATAATAATGAATGAAGCTGAAATGTCTGACCTCGACCAGAGCAGATTTGTTCTGATACTATAGGCCTAATACAAAGAAAGACTTTTTAAAATCACACAAACTCATAGTTTCTCCAAGTTACAGAGTTGAGCAGATTCAGGAATGAGCCAGTTCAATTCTCAAAAGTTTTTCATCAAATTAATTTACATGTTATTTGAAAGATTTTGAACCAATGAATATAATTTACAATGCCGTTTGACTTTATGTGAACTGTCAGTCTCTGCTGCCCTCTTCTGGTCTGTAAAATATCCACACAAACTTTAATTTCTTTATATTCCAAAACTGAGGAACCTAAGGACTAATAATCAACCACAATTTATTTTCTGTTTGTCTACCTTTCCCCCTAACATTTCCATCATTTGCTTCCATGATGCTTGCTTCCAGTAATAGGCTACAATAAAAAAATAATATGTTTCAACTTCATAATCACAACAACAACAACAACAAAATACTTGTCGATAGGTGTAAATGAAGTGCTCAAGTGAACCATTTGGGAAAATTATTCAATGGCATTCTTTCACATAGTGTCTGTCCAGTTTTTGCTCTGTTTTGTTATCGACAGTGAAAGTGAATATGTGTATAAGAGAATATATTGTTTAGTTTAATTTTATATTGAGAAATATTATGTGAAATAAGTTCACAGTAATACTTATATTACTAATACAGTATAAATAGTTTTTGCACTTATAAATGGTTTGAGGCAATTTACCGTGAAATTACTATTTTTTATCATCTATGTTTTTAATTCAACAGTATTTTACTGTTTTTAACAGGCATTCACTGGAAACTCAATGGCAGAAAAGTAATGTTTTTTGTTCGCTTGTTTATTATTTTACAGTGTACAGCCCAATATATTCCCTAACAAATATCTAAATTTGAGTGCATTGAGTTGAAGCACGCACAGTTGCTGCCTAAAAAAATATAGCATAACAAATAAGGTGAGAGAAGTACATTTTAAAATACTTCAACTGTAGCCAATTGATGCAGGATTACCCCCTTTTTAACTGTATATATAATGAATAAAACGTTGTGTTCATCTGTGAAAATGATCATGATTTACAAAATGTGTAAGTAGCCTATCATAAAATTTTGTTTATCACAGAGCTTGTTTTTCCCCCCGATTTTTTTATTGGTTTTATTTACCCATAGGTTTTTGTTGAGTAAACCAGTGTGACACGAACTGCCCAGGAAAGTCATGCAGACTATATTATACAAAATATACCATATATTGTTTCAGCTGCATAGTAGAGATTTATGTTCAGTTTGTTTGGGTCCCTGCCCATGTAGGTGTTGATGAAATGAAGAGGTGAATATTCTAGCTAAACAGGCCTTGAAATTGGATGTGGTTAACATCAATGTCCCGCTGTGCAAAGCAGAAGGGAAATCTATTACTGCAAGAGCAATGGGATAGTAATGACACTGGTAGACATCTTTACTGTGGGAGGGGGTAGGTCTAGGAATGGAAGCCGGAGAGAAGAGGCAGTGCTGACACGTTTGAGGATTGGCCATTTAGGTCTCAATAGATCTTTGTTCCGGATAGAGAAACATAAGACAGGAGCATGTGATTATTGCGGTCAGCCAGAAACAGCTGAGCATGTCCTAATAGAATGCAATAATTACATGAAAGAGCGTAGTTGTTTAACATCAGTCCTATATAAAGAAGGGAAAGCGCTTACTTTAGTGAATCTCTTAGGACAGTGGTTCTCAACTCCAGTCCTCGGGACCCACTGCTCTGCACATTTTGTATGTCTCCTTATTTAACACACCTGATTCAGATCATCAGCTCGTTAGGAGAGACTCGTTGGATCTGAACTGAGTGTGTCAGATAAGAGAGACATACAAAATGTGCAGAGCAGCGGGTCCCGAGGACTGGAGTTGAGAACCACTGTCTGGAGATGTATAAAAGTGTTAAAAATCAAGTTATGAGGTTTCTTAAAAATACGTGGTTTTTTTTATACATTTATATATTTATTTACAAATATATTTATACCATAGGTGTATAGGTGCGCATAGGTGAATAATTCCCTCTGGCTATTCTCGACGACCACACTCCTGTCCGGTAGGTGGCGGTAAATGCGGTTTGCCAACCGCCAATTAAACTCTAAAAGAAGAAGAAGAAGAAGAAGAAGAAGAAGAAGAAGAAGAAGAGAACTGCCGATTGGCCTACAAACTGACGTCCTTATCAGAAACTGCACCCAGGAAGACATTTACCAGGAATAGACCTTTTTGTTGTCGTGACTATCTATTTTATCTATTAAGAGAAGAAAATGGAATCAGCGATCAACGAAGAGCAAAGATACTTTTAAAAATAGTTTGTTTCACAACAGACAGCAGATCTTTGTGATTCTCGTGGTTGTTCGTTTTTGAAACAATCGTTCAGGAAGGGAAAGTAAAGTCTAGAGTTCAGACGGGGAAAATGGCTTCTTCACTACATGTATTTCCAGAAAAACTTTATTGTCCTGTGTGCCTTGAAATCTTCAAGTCTCCTGTTCTTCTGTCGTGTGATCACAGTTTCTGTAAAGAGTGTCTTCATCAGTCTTGGAGAAGCGAAAAAACTCGGGAGTGTCCAGTCTGCAGGAGAAGATCCTCAAGAGAGTTAATTCCTCCTAATATGGCGTTAAATAACTTGTGTGAATCGTTCCTGAAGGAGAGAGATAAGAGTCGATCATCAGGATCTGAGGAGATCTGCAGTTTACACAGTGAGAAACTCAAACTCTTCTGTCTGGAGGACAATCAGCCGGTGTGTGTAGTGTGCAGAGATTCACAGAAACACGCCAATCACACTTTCAGACCCATCAGTGAAATTGGTCCATCATATAAGGTAAGAAAGATTTATTTCTGAGGATTAAAGCTTGTACTACATACGTGAGCATTTTACAGAAATCTCTGGTGTCTTATAGTTTTTCACTTTAAATTTTAGGAGGAACTGAAGTCCTTAAAAGAGAAACCTAAAAACAAAGAAAACATTAAAGGAGAGAAAACAGTTCAACCCACCAAGGTGAGGATTGATTCTTTTGAAATATTCACAAATGTAATTAGAACAGCTTAATCAGACAAATGTCTGAGATTACATGTTCCATTATTGGAGAACACGCAGTCGACTCAGACTCCTTGATTCCATTTACTTTACATCAAAACATGGTCAGGAATAATACAAGATTGCAGTCTTTATTACACACTTAATTATTTTCCCCCAATGCAAAGATTTAAAATCCACTGCGCTTTCAGCATGACTTTCCTAATTAGCCCAGTTTACCAATAACATCACCATGACTTATTCTACTAGGCTGTTGAATGCTTGAATCTGATGACAAAGATTCTAAGGTGTGCAATTATTTTCAGGGAAACACGGCTAAAGTAGTTCCAGGCAGGTTTAGACCGCATTACTGTTCCATATCCCTTCACTAAATTATTCCAGTTATTTCAAAGGTCCTTACAGACTGCAACAGAAAAAGAACCAAAACCCACAACGACACTGACCAAACAAATAAATATAGTAAACAATAGGATAAAAATGTAAAAATGTGACATTTAAAAAAAAATTGCCACAAAAATGGCATTTTATGTATGAAAAGCACATACTCTCTCTCTCTCCTGCTCAAACACACACACATGTACGAAAAAATGTGTTGTCAGCTGCTCTGACGATTTTATCAGTGAAATAGTTTAACAACTTAAAAGCTACATGAAATTTCTCACTAGCGAGGTAATAACGGCGCTTAAGATAAAGCGCCGTTATTACGATAAACGTAAACGTACTTTTTATTGACACTGCTGCCGAACACAGTTGAGACTCGGGTAATTCACACACGAGTAATCTCTCTCTCTCTCTTAATAACTGCATTGGTTTGCTATCAATGGCTCAAGCATCTGTTACTACTCTAAAATGGCATTTTGAAAGTAGAATCGGAGGCTTGGGATTTGATGCAGTATAAATTAGTTCTTCACACAAGAGTGTTTTAAGGACAAAAACTAACAACCATCTTGAAATACATCACTTGAACAATGTTTTGAGGTGCGGTAACCACAGTATTGTATAAGCTGGATAATTGACTCTGGGGCGCTGAATTATTTGAAAATAATGCATAACTGAGGTGTAACTCTGCTTTGCATCATGTCCGCATTACCACCACAGTGTGGATTATTTTCTATTAATTTAACGGCCTGTTGTCAATTATTCTTTACTTGATGAATAGCTGTCAAAGTTGTTACCTAGCTGTTGCCGATAAGGCCTACCTAATTTTAAAGAGGCAAAAGTAATTAGAAATAGCCATGGTCTTTAATGAATTCATCTTATTATAATGGCCGGGTGATGGCACTAAACGCACATGATCATTGTCTTAAAAGGTGCATGGACAGGACAGTTAAAGGTATTAAAAATAAATACAATACATACAATAATGTACACTTATTGAGGTGTTTATTCTTGATGTGAGTTTTTAATGATTTATGGTTAGTTTAATCATTATCATTATGAACACAAATAAAGCACGGAAAACCAAATTTATATTTATTGCAATAATAAAGTAACAGTTAATGCTGAAAATGTAGATGATCAAGCTGATTGATCGGGCCCAACTTTGAAAGCAGGACTTGAGCAGAATGTGTAACAGTGGTCAGTAGTCTAACCGGTGTTGTGCTCTCCAGGTTCAGGAAGCCGATGTTACGGTTTAACTGGTTACCGTATTAAGTGTTCTTACGCCAGATGTGAACGATCAGCTGCAGATTCGTCAATTCCGAAAGCCTGTGCAATACATCCATTACAATTAAATATTTGCACTACATGATGCTGGTATTATTGTAATGATTAAAAAAACAAGGCAAGCAAGACTCCAAGCAAACGTTTGGTCATACTGCTCAGAAACAGCTTTATGAATACATCTTAACCTCTAAAAGCAAAAGGGGTTTTGCTTTCTCATCCAAACACACAGCGACAGTATTTTCACTTTCGTCTTTTCACTTTTCGTCTTCTTTCATTGTGAATGCCTTTGGGCGGCATTATGATAATATTTGGCTGGAAAAAGCGTTCTCTGTTAGACAGAATAAATCGCATTGTAACTTTACAGATCGTATGAATGGACAAACAGATAATTTACACATTAAAGGAAAAGAAATGACCCCTTCATATGACCCCTTTAAATTTATAGTTTTTTTTTTTGCGTAAACAGAATAAAAAAATGAAATCTAAAATGCTTACATTTTCTTGGTCGAGTTATGTGAAAGAACCTTTATTGTTTGTTGGTGCACATTTCATAATTTAAAAATATAACATTGTACATCATTTACACATGACCATAATTATTGTTTTTATGTTTCACATTACAGGACATAAATTATCTCAAGAAGAAAAGCCTCTTAATTGAAGATGGAAATCCTGCTCGATATCATCTGCAAAAAAAGACAGACAATATTGATGAATCTGAACTATATAGAAAAATGACCTTTGGAGAGAGAGACTTAAAGAAACCCCATAAAACCATTCTGCTGGTGGGAGAAACAGGAACAGGAAAAACAAAACTGATCAATGTGATGATCAACTACATGTTAGATGTTCAGAGAGAAGACAAGGTTTGGTTTGAGATCACAGATGATCAGAGTGACCGAACATCAGCTCACAGTCAGACCTCCAGCATCACTGTTTATGGGTTTTATCTACAAGAGAGTAAAACTGATCTAACAATCATCGACACACCAGGATATGGAAACACTCGTGGAGCTGAGAAAGATAAAGAGATTGCTGAGAGTTTGCTTCGTTTATTTACAGCTGAAGAAAGTGTTCATGAAATGGATGCAGTGTGTCTGGTGATTATGGCACAACAAAATCGTCTCTCTGACAGACAGATATACATATTTGATTCTGTTCAGTCTTTATTTGGGAGAGATATTGCTGAAAATATCGTCTTGCTCTTCACACACTCAGATGGAGCTCGACCTAAAAATGTCCTGACGGCTGTTAAAGAGGCTAAAATCAAGTGTGCAGTGAATGACAAGAATCAGCCGGTGTTTTTCCTGTTTAATAACTGTCAGTCAGACGCTGCTGATGAAGAAGATGATGATGATGAAGATCATGAACAGAGGCGGGATCAATCATGGAATCGTAGTTTTAGAGGAACAGAAGGATTGTTCAAGTTTCTTGAGAGTGTAAAACCAAAATCCCTGAAGATGACTCGAGATGTGTTGCAACAACAGAAACACCTGGTGGCAAATATCTCTAATCTAAAAGCACGAGTTCAAATGACAGAACTAAAACAAAATGAGCTGAAACAAACTCAAGAAGCTCTGGAGAAGAACAAGAAAAATGTAGAGGAAAATAATGACTTCGAGTATGAAGTTGACGTGCCCTATAAAGAGAAGGTTGATATTGATCTCTCTAAAGCCAAAGAGGCGATGTGCTGCAGCGTCTGTGAGGAGAACTGTCATTATCCAGGATGCTGGTGGGCCAGTGATCTCTCATGGTGCGAAGTGATGAAAGATAATCACTGTACAGTGTGCACAAATAAATGCCACTACACCAAACATGTCAAAGAAGAGAAAATATATGTAACAAAGACAAGAAAGGAGAAAAAGACATATGAAAAATTAAAGAAGAATTATGATGGGAAGATTGGGGACGGTGAGTCTCTGGCCAAGAAGCTGAAAAAAGAACTGCAGGAATTAAAGAAAGAGAAAATAAAGCTGGTGATTGAAGCTTTTCACTGTGTGAATACTCTGGAGATGATCGCACTCAATGCTGATTCTGTGTTAACACTTCAGCCCATTGATTCTCTGATTGAGAAACTGAAGGAAATAAATGAGCCTGAAAAGGCAGAAATACTGGAAAAGATCAAGAAGAGAGCAGGAGAAGAAAAACAAGAAGCTCTGGGATACAGTGCTAGATTTTAATATATTTTAATAATCACAAATAATACCTCATCTCAAATGATGCTGACACTGAAAATCTGAAATCCTAAAAATGTTTCTGCTGTATTCAAAAGCATGTCCTTCATGTGATGTTAAGATATATTATCATTGATCATAATTGGAATGTTTCATGAATCTAACATTTTTCTATCATCACACTAGCCTGTATTTTCCATTTGTACATTGTTGCATAAACTGCAATAAACTGCATCTGCAAAGTTAACTAATGAAGTGATTACTGTGAATTCTGTATATTCATTTATACAGTAAGATACTATTGAAAATACAGAAATATACTGTAAAAGCAACAAATAGCCAGAACATTGTAATTCATCATACAATGATATGCATGTAATAATCATTGTCACTAAGAGGCTGTTAGACTGTTTTAACTGTATTATAAAGCACTGTCATCTAGAGGCCATATGAGAAACTTGAATATCATAACAGGTGAAAAACATGATATACATTTCTAAACTCTGCTTTACTTTAAATCTGGACTGTACTGTTTATTCACATAATGACATTTTTTGGCCCCTGTTTTTTTTTTTTTTTTGCTTCATGCTTCATGTGTTTATTGAGAATATACAGAAATATAATTTTCTTTACGTGAACTGTCCTTTTAAGAGTAAAGTATGTTAGTCAAGTAGTACACTCAGAAAATCCAAAATATGATCCTTAAACAGTGTCCATATCCATCACAATTGCTTGTATTTGGAAAAATGCATCTGCTAAATTAACAAATGCAAAATACTATTTGATTACTGCAATTATTTTCTTGCTTTATTTTGTTTTCAAGGAATAAATTCAAATTGAGAGTAACATATACATGAGACTGATAATACTATAATAAATAACAAATAGCCAGAACATGAATATTTATTGGAAAAAAATGTACAGTCACTAAGGGGCTGTTTAGGGACATTATTTTTAGTGCTTATTATTGTACTATTAGAGGCCACACTTAGAGGCCGCATGAGAAAATAACTCTGATAGCATCACTGTTTCAAAATGACAAATGTATGAATAAAAAAGAAAACACTCATGTGAACAGAAACAGACCTGTGTGTTATAATGATGACAGAAGAGAGATGAATGACCTTCATTCTGCTTAATTCTCAATAAAACACAAACAGAATATTTTGGAAGACATTGAAAATGTTTATCTTAACTGCTTCTATGACACGTTGAGCTCATTTGTCGAGTTGCACAGGACTCCTACCTGAGAATCTCTGCACCACAAGTGCAACGCTGTACCAACTGAGCGAAGCAATTTTGCTGCATCAGAAAACCATATAGAGTCGTTTATGTACACGATGGAAATATTAAAATGCATTTGCTTGCAGGCTTTACACTGAAAGTGCTTTGAAGTCACAAAATAATATTGTGTGCAAGGAACAGGGTGAAAGTTTTTTAAGTTTTGCAAAAATGTAGATATAATAAAAATGTTCCAGTGAGCCTTGGTTATAATAGACGAGTGAAAATCACAGATCCGGTATTCGGAAACATTCAAGATGTTCTGCCTAATGGAGGTAGAAACCTGAATCATTTGAAACCTAGAAGTAGTTTTGCCACCACAGTCACTGCAACTGGTGCAAAGGAGTGTGATGGGAAGGCTGTGAATAAGACCTGTCTCTTCTGTGAAGGAGCACATGCATTGGACTTCTGTTAAAGGCTTGTTGAAAGATCTCATGCAGAAAAGATGCATTTTCTGAAGAAAAAGGGGATTTGTTTCGGTTGCTTGTGTACAGGAAATTTCAGCCGTGATTGTAAAGAGAGAAGGATACCTGTATGTAAGATAGATATGTCTACTCAAACACCCAAGTCTTCTTCATATTTTTCCATCAGAGAAAAAGGGCATTCAGTGTATAAGGATGAGTTCAAGTTAACAGTGGGAAGTGCTTTGGTCTCACTGCAGTACAGTGCCCTTACTGGGGCTGGTAAAGAAAGTTGTGCATTGTCTATCGTTCCTGTATGTGTGAAATCAAAGAAAGGAAGTAAAGCTGTGACCACCGATGCTTTTCTGGATTCTGGGAGCTCTACATCTTTCTGGACAGAGAGTTTGATGTCCAAGTCTCAATCTCTCCGCAAAGAAAATGAACATCCTAATCAGTCCCTCCAGGATTTCACAATTTTTTTGTGTGATTTTTCCGATCAAAATGACTGATTTTGTGGTGGTAATCTCCCGAAATTTGTGAAAAAATTTGCGATTTTTATATTTTATTATTAGGACATCACATTTACCATAATAGTATTATGTCAGATGCACAATAGTCATACATGACACAAATCATTAACAAAATGCATAAAGCTTGTTTATTTGGTCTAATCAAATTCTCATCAAATTAACTTTTAAAACAACCCATGGGCAATTTTTCTGCCTGATTTATGTAAATATTAACAGCAGGTGTAGTAATTTATACTGTAGAACTGTGTAAATCAAATTCATACATTTGCAAAAAATAGGTCGGTCAGTCAGTCACACACACACACACACACACACACACACACACACACACACACTGCAGTCAGAGACAGACTGTCACTCGAAATTAGTTCTCTTTCATGGTATACTGCGCTTTTAATAATTCTTTTTAGTACCATCGAGCATATCATACATTTTGTGATGTCATTCAATCATGACGCGTGAGCAATGAGCATAAATTTAGAGAGAAAACATATTAGGCAGGCAGGACACAAGTACGACGAGTGACGTCATGAATATGCTAATTGACGTATGATGTAATCTAGCGACTTTTAGGGAAGGCTTAGATGATAGTCGATAGTAGACTTTCTTTTGTGGTCTAAAATTTTATTACATGGGCTGCAAAACAATTTACCCCCATTCTTGTGCAATATATCAGGATATTGCGTAGCCTGGTCCTTGGTGCTTATGTGAGAGGGCAGGTGAGACACATTTTCTTTCGCCATGTTTCTTACAGACCGCTCACAGACATCACGCGTGCGCAACATCTGTATCCACGTAAAAATGCATTGAAACTTTAATTCAACTAGAGATATTTAAATTGGGTGATTATAGTTTAATGTTTTGTGAGGTCTTTTTCATTTTTGTGATTATTTTGCGGTTAAATTAGGAATTATGCAGGATCGCAAAAAAATGCGACATTTTGTTGATTTTACGTTGTATTCAGCGATCGCGGATTCGCAATAAACTGGATGGACTGCCTAATGAGAACCATGAGTCAGAACAAATTTGTTTGCTGTTATATTCTGAAGGATCTGGAAGTGTCAGGATTGAATCAAGAGCATTACTGTGCTTTACCAAAGGTTTACACGCAGAAGACCATGCCTTTAAGTAAACCCATCATCGCCACACAAAATGATCTTGCTTGTTGGCCTCATTTAAGTCATCTATGCTTGCCTTCAATTGATGCTGATGTGGAGTTGTTGATTGGTGCTAATGTGCTAGAGACTTTGGAGCCATAGCAGATTATTCGCTGTCAAGACAGTGGCACGTACACCATTAAGACCATGTTTGGATGGGCAGTTAATGGACCAATCAAGCGACAGGAAGTATGTTGAGGAACATCCTCACATGACTTGTCAATAGGATTACAGTTATGAAACTGAATGAGTTGTGGGAGCAACAGTTCAAGGGTGACTTTCCTGAATGTGTTCAAGAGGAACAGCAAGGATTGTTAAAGTAAGATCATCAATTCATGGATTTTGTTTCACAGTCAGCAAGACTGACCGCTGGACATTATTACGTTGGTCTTCCACTTAAAAATGAAAAGGTAGTCATGCCAAGGAATAGAGCAATCGTGGAACAACGTGCTCTGAATCTTAAAAGAAGGCTTAAAAGAAACGCTTCTTTTCATGCTGACTATCTTTATGGAGAGAGTCATCACTAAAGGCCATGCTGAAAAGTTTCCTACAGCTGAACTGGAACGACTTGATGGACGCTTATTGTACATACCTCACCATGGTGTGTATCATCCTAAAAAACAAAAGATCAGAGGGGTGTTTGATTGCGGAGCATCATATCAAGGAACATCATTGAATGAACATCTTTTGCAAGGTTTAACAAGTCCTCTGGTGAGTGTTCTTGTGCGATTCAGAATGGAGTATGTTGCCATGATGGCTGACAGAGAATTGATGTTTCATCAGGTTAAGGTACATCCTTATGATTGTGATCTCTTGAGGTTTCTTTAGTGGCCTGGAGGAAACATTGATGCCAATCTGGAAGAATACAGAATGGTTGTGCATTTGTTTGGACTGGAGCGACGTCATCTCCAAGTTGCTCTAGCTATGCATTGAGAAAGTGTGCAGAGGAACATAAGGATCTGTATGATGCCAAGACTGTCGACATTGTCTTTAATAACTTCTATGTACGACTGTCTTGTATCTGTGCTTACAGATTTAAAAACTGTTCTATTGTACCAGAAGCTCACAGAAATGTGCGCTAAAGGTGGATTCCGATTTACCAAATGGATAAGTAACCGCACTGTGTTAAATTCCATCCCTGAGGAAGAAAGAGACAAAGTTAAGAACTTGGATTTGGAACATGACACGCTACCTTTGGAAAGAGCATTAGGTGTGCAGTGGTGTGCTGAGTCTGATGTCTTCAAGTTCAAGGTGACCATTAAGGATAGACCTCTTACTCGAAGAGGAATTATTTCTATCATTAGTTCCATCTATGACCCTCTTGGCTTTCTGTCTCCTGTGATTCTACGTGCCAAAATGATACTTCAAGATCTGTGTTGAGAAACAATTGGATGGGACAGGCAAGCAAGGCAAGGCAAGTTTATTTATATAGCACATTTCATACACTATGGCAATTTAAAGTGCTTTACATAGAAAGGAATAAAAATAATCACAAAATAAAGGCAAGGAAAATTAAAACGGTTATTCAAATCACACTATGGCAATTCAAAGTTCTTTGCATAGAAAATAAACACAAAATAAAAGCAAGGGAAACACATAACACAGTTATAAAATAATTAAAATTGATAAATGATACAGTTATAAAATCAATTAGAGTAAAATTAATTAAAGTAGTAAAAAGATGATAAATCGAATAAACTTCTCATCTGGCAAAACACTGGTGTATCTTATTTTGCATATGGTTTTACTCTGACACTGTGTCTGTGGTGTTTATTTGGCGCGCCTAAGAATTCCATTGGAGGTCTCCGTTGGACCCGATTTTTCCCTAAAATTGGACAGGAGGAGCTGTAGGGCTGACCTCGGGTTTACTGCCACATCAGTCCACACCAAAAAAAAAAACAATTTGTTCGGAAGCTCTAAGAATGGCTTCAGTCCGCACCCCACAGAACCTTTTTTTTATTTTTTATTTTTTATTATATTTATTGAGTTTTTACATTTTATAAAAAAACAAAAACAAAAAAACACAAACATAAACAGTGAGGTTCAATGTAAATCTCTGTAAACAGCTTATGTATAAATTACATTGTAGACATGTATAGGTGCAA